GTTTGAACTGCAGGAGATTGTCTTGACCATGTCTACATGCCTAAATGCACTGAGTTGCCGCCATGTGATTAGCTGATTAGAAATTAAGTGTTAACGAGCAGTTGGACAGGTGTACCTAACAAAGTGGCCGGTGAGTGTATGTGACCCATCACATTGAACCGAGGATGAAGTCATGACGTGTGTGGAGAAATCAGCAGCTGTGGTGCAATGATTTATTTTGTCAAAATACCTTATTTATGGGTTGTTTAAATGAAATATCTTGAATATTTTCTTGAATTTTTAGAAGCACCTTAAAAAAACAATTCAGTTTTTTTTAATTTAATTTTTTTTGCTTTCCATCTGGAAACCATAATATCTAAATACTGTTTGAGATTTCCTCTTTAAAATGACGTCCAAAAATTCCTCGTTAGAATAACCCTAAATATAAGATTCAGACCAAATATATCCTGATTAGGAAGACAAAACAAAGCATATCTCTAGATCCACTCATGATATCAGGATGATCTAAGTCATTTTAACCAAATTTGACTTTATTCTCAGAGATGAGTCACATATATTCATTTTTATAAATGTGGCTCCAGATCTTTCACCTTCTGTGTTTTGTATCATGTCTACACATCCAGTAGAAATACCCACAACTTTAAATTTAAGTTCCACTTGCCCAAAATCAGTACTTTGTTTAACCCTCATCATTTTTTAAAGTTCTTATTATTCATTTTTCCATAATAAAACTTCCAAACAATTCACCCTTTTCATCTGACTGGAAGCCAGCCACCGTTTCTTTTAGGAAAGGCTCACCGCTCCAGGTTTTTCAGGCGCTGACCAACGTAGTGTATCAGTGGTTTGCTCTTAAGCATACACAACAAAAAATGTAAAAGTATACAAACATATATGTGTGTCTCTAACAGGCATTCAGCAGCTGCAGCTGATCCTCCTGAAGGTGGCCCTGATTGTTGCGGTGGAGTTTCACATTAACGTGGAGTTTGTCAGGCTGTTGGAACCTCCAGAGGACCAGGAAAACGAAGGTATTCAATCTCTCCTGTTTGCATGCGAGTCCAAACAAGAGGTACAAACTCACGGATCAGGTGGCCTGAAAGATTTCAGAGGTAATGAGATTAACGCAGCTGAAATCTGTACTGTAGTTTTTGCAATAGGATTAACTTGAGGAATTTAATGTTTTAAGCCTTTTTGGACAGCTTCCTGGGGATTATTTGTTTACTTCCCACACGGCTGCTCCCGCTCTACATGAGCAACGCAGCGGGGAACTTCCTCCTGCAAGGATTTCATTTCCTTGTTCGTCACCAATAAACATGGGATAAACATTGGCCCGCATCTTGTTTTATAGTTTGAGGCTGGCAAAGGTCACACACTCTGCATCTCTAATCAGTGTAGGATCCCGTTTCAGCGTAAAACACCTACTTGAGCCTCATCATGCTGACTTTCAGCTCAGAGGAGAAAACTGGAGTGGTACCAGTTTTAAAATCAGAACACTGATAACACAAGCCTAAATTTAGACTCAAACTTATCCCTCCTCTTCTTCTGTGACAGAGTTAGCTGCTCCCTTGACTTCATGGAAAACATTTTCCACATGGTGACACAACAAACACACACTTCTGCCTGATACCATCTGATATTCCTCGTGCTTTAGTCCTGGTTGTTTCATGGAGGTGGGGGTGCAACATGAAGGAAGCAATACTTTGATCTATAAATAAACGTGTCTGTGCCTTTTCCAACGTTCTCCGTTGCTCTGTGTTTCAGAGATCGGGTGGAGGGCTGCAATCCGACCCGCTGACCACCCGGTGGCTAACTTTGACTTTGATGTTGTGGTGGGGGCTGATGGGCGGAGGAATACACTGGAAGGTGAGAAGATTAGAAACAAAAAGAAGTCATATACATTTGACAGCAGCGTGTTGACAAAAGTTGGGAATCTGCTCCCATGTCATTCATTCAGCAATATTTTAGTATTTAAAAGCAAAATATAAATATATCAAAACAAATGCTCAAGTAGCACCGAGTTTAAAACCTTTTCTTACTTCACTTTTCGGTTGTGGTTTATCATCTTGCATATCTGTGGCTTTAGCTATTACTGCAACCCGTGCATAATTATTTGTTCTTGTATGAAGTCACCGATCTCTCCCCCAACGCTGATCCATTCATGATGGAGCAGCTCCAGCTCTCTAACTGCTTTCAGGCTTTCTTTTAAAAATGCTGTCATCAAAACAGCCAATTCTGATCAAATGCTTATTCCTTAAATGGTCATATCGGGGCCAAACAAAACGTTTAGCTCATTCTCTAATTATGAGAAAGCCTCGGGGAGAATGACTTTCTTCTGCAGTCTGCCTGCTTGTGTGTGGCTTCTGTGGCCAAGCTGTGGTAACACAGTTAAACGCTCTCTGATCCGCTGGTTTGTTGCTGTATTTAGGACAGAGTCACATTCTGAACATTTTCTTTTACGTCGTCGTTCTTTCGATCTTCCAGCTCACTTGTGCTTAGAGTGCAATACTTTTAGATTTAAAGCACTCAAAGCTGGAGAGAAATGAACTTTCGACATCTGATTGTTGCAAGACTTTTATACTGTCTCTTTCTTAGAGTTGCAATGAGAAAAATATATATATATTTTGTTATTTCCATAGCAATTGTGAGACAAAACACTATGCTCCTGAACGGATATTATCTGCACAAATAAACCTGTTTTCATAAGATTATTAGACGTTTTGATTTCAAGCATTGTCACTTCAGTTACTTACAATTTTCAGCCTCTATACCAAATTTTAGCTCAATAATTGAAAAAAATGACAATTATAGCCATTTTTGTCTGTCCTAAGATAAACTATATACTGTATATGGTTTTCGCTTCCTTAGTAAATTGCTGCTAATCTTAAAATGAATTCCTTGTAATTATGGTTTGAGGCTAGATTTCCTTTGGTTTGAACACGTGAGCTGACAGGCCTAGTCTGCATTAGGAAACCAACACTTAAACTTTTTCCCCTTGCGTCTCTCTTTTTTCTCCTTCTGTCTTTTTTCTTCTTCTTTTTAACCAGGTTTTAAAAGAAAAGAGTTCAGAGGGAAGTTGGCGATCGCCATCACCGCCAACTTCATCAACAGGAACACGACCGCAGAAGCCCAAGTAGAGGAGATCAGCGGGGTGGCCTTCATTTTCAACCAGAAGTTTTTTCTTGACCTCAGGGAGGAGACAGGTGTGACAGACAGTTATGCTTAACACAGAGGAAATACCTCGTTAGACGTGGGATGAAGTGTTTTAACTAGCTTAAATTGTTCACTAGTYTTAGTTTGTATTTTTGGTTTTACATCAAGCAAAAGGATTTTCATTTTTAAGAAATTTCTAATAATTGAAATTTCTGCATTTGTCAGATAGTTTATCCAAGAAAGGGAAATGTTAACATAATGTTTTTGCAATGTTTGTTAGCTTTTTTCATGATCAAGAGTGTCCAATAAGCAATCGCATAGAAATTTGAGAAAACATTTATTCAGCTTTATAACCGTTAGCTTTCACTACTATAGAGATGCTCTCTGTTGTTATTTTTTCACAATGTAGCTTTATTAATACTGTGTTTTTTTTTCTGCAGGTGTTGATCTGGAGAACATTGTTTACTACAAGGACAACACACATTACTTTGTCATGACGGCAAAGAAGCAGAGCCTTCTGGACAAAGGGGTTGTCATCAATGTGAGAAAACTGTTTCAGCTACAGAGATCGTCATAATATTTTCATTTTTGTTCATACTCTGTCATTGGTTACGTAAAACATTTCATTAAGTTGTCAGGATATATTCAGCTATTTGAAGTGTTTTTTTAGGAGTATGTATCTTACCTGCAGCAGATATGGTGAAACTGATACAAGTTTAAATCAGGGAGAAACATTTTATGAAAAAGTCAAGTTCATAACTGATCCAGGGCCAAGACCAGAGCAAATTCCTGCCATTTTAAACAGCTCAAACTCATAACTCATACAATATATTAAATATTTTTTACAGTTAACTATCAGACAGCTGTTTATGTTACTATTTTCTCAACCAAAGTTTATATTACTAACTGCATGCAGTGAGACAGAGGATCACCTGCGACTTGCTGGTCTAAATCCTAAAACAACAATCATGAGACAGTAAAACCGGGTAATTACAAAATGTAAGACAGGTTGCCTTTCTTCTGGGGCGATGTCTGCATGGGATAGATTATACAGAGGAGGAACTGCTTGTTAGAGAGAGACTAACAGCTCCTGGCCGACTCAGCTCAAGGATTTTTCTCAGCCATTGTAAACACACTTACATGTAGCAACATCAGTGTTGTTCAGCTGAGACAATCCTGTCTGTAAGTACCTGTCTCGTGCTAAAATTAACAGGTGATCAACTTTATACTGTAGTGCCTGTTTGAACGTCTACTAAAGTTTTCAGTTTGGTGTGTTTTTGCCTGAAATTAGCTTTTGATTATAGCCCCACTATTCACTTTAACTTCTCCACTCATGATTCTCCAAACTGAGATCGCCCTTATTACCGTTTTATACAGGTAACACACTGACTACTCTTAGCTACTCAGCACAACCCCACTTAAAAGTAAAAACAAAACAACGAAAATGTTTTTTTTTTTAATCCCACCAAACCTGGCTAATCTTTAGATGTTCTCGATACTTAAATCAACTCTGTTGCTGCTTCTGTTGTAACAGGATTACGCTGACACCCAGATGTTGCTGAGCAGTGAAAATGTCGACCAGGAAGCTCTTCTGACCTACGCCCGGCAGGCTGCTGACTTTGGCACCAACTACAAGCTCCCCACTCTGGATTTTGCCATGAACCACTGCGGACAGCCCGACGTGGCCATGTTTGATTTCACAAACATGTACGCATCTGAAAACGCTGCTCTGGTCAGGGAGCGGTTTGGACACCAGCTGCTGGTAGCGCTGGTTGGTGACAGTCTTCTGGAGGTAAGGAAAAAAAAACAAGGTCGATCAAATAAACTTAGTTCAGACAGAAATTACTTGCTAAAAGAAGCTATTACGCAATCGAACTCGATGCTGGAGTTCCTCTGTTGAGCTGCTGCAGGGTGTTACGTTTCTGAGAGGGGAAAGTGAGCTCGTTTACAACACGTAGTTGTTGATGTTGTCCCACTCTGAGGGACCCACCTCCTCACATTACACAAACTCATCCTGATGCCAAAACCAAGAACAGGTGTTTCATCTGAGGAGCTCCACACGTTAGTGTCTGCAGCCAGACTCTTCCTGTTGGAGCTGCTGATACTGAATCACACAGACCTTTTCTTTTCTTTTTAAAACATCTTGCACCTGTTCAGAAAAACAAGTTCAGACTTTGACAGGATTAACACTGAATGAAAAATGAACTAAAGTTCAATGAAATATAAGAGAATCATTTAAACTGAAATAAATCTTAAAATATTTGTCTATGATTCAAATACAAATATTTTTATACATAGATTTCATAATAAAACATACTGAACTAAATCATAGTTAAAGAAAAATAAATCAGAAAAACACATAATCACCTTTACTGTAAAATAATAGTTGATTAAACAAAGATTTGTGTAAAACAAATAAAGAAACATTGAAACAATATTCTTTTTGTGTGTTTTTTCCCCATTTTTAAGTATAATGCAAGAAGATGGACTGTCATTCTTTTCATTATGTAACTTTGATTAATACAATGATAATAACTTGTAGTTAAAAAGAAAATATAAATCAAGAATATGAAGAACATTATTATTTTGTTTATTAAAGAAAATAAAAAGTCTCTTTTGAGAAAGGTCTTTTTAAAACCATGGTCAAAGACATGTGGAAATGTTTATTCCCCCCTCGGGTGACCCTTACAAACATCATAATAAATGCAATGATTAATTCTCTTTTTACGTAATAAACTGACTTTATCTTTGATATGCTTTCTGTRGTGCAGCCCTTCTGGCCAATGGGAACAGGCTGTGCCAGAGGTTTCCTGGCTGCGTTTGACACGGCCTGGATGGTGAAGAGCTGGGCTGAAGGTCGGCCGGTCCTGGAGGTGCTGGCAGAACGGTACTCATACTTTATGTTAGAGAAACACAACATYTTGTTCTGTCAACTTTGTGTTCGGACACTGATTGGATTTAATGAGGTCTATCAGCAATAAAGTAAAACGAATAAACCTTTTGATGATTGTGCTTGTCAGGGAGAGCGTTTACCGCCTTCTTCCACAAACCACACCTGAAAACATCACTAAAAACTTTGAACAGTACACCATAGACCCTGGAACTCGATACCCCAACCTAAACTCTTCTTGTGTTAGGACTCATCAGGTGAGTTTATCTCCGACTCAAGTATGAGCAACTCTACAAACGTTCTGAGCATTTTCATAATTACCTGACTGCCCRGTTGCAGGTGCGTCACCTTTATATCACCGGAGAGCTCAGTTCCTGTTCCCTGGAGCGCTCTGCTACCATCCGACGGCCCGTCAACCTCCCCAGGCGAGGTAAAGTGTCAGACCGACGCCTCTGACTCATCCATAGATTACACAAGGGTGCAATTAAAATGTCAGGCCAATATTTCCCTTTTCGTTTTGCTTTCATTCTAACATGTTAGTTATTAAAAAGTTAATAAATAGTAAAAAAAAAAAAAAAGATAACTTCCTTATAAGTCATAGTAAATTATGAGAAAAGGTTTGTTTTTGAGAAAAGTCAAAAATGCGTCTCTTTTTCTCCAGCCTGGAAATGTTCCTTATTTCAAGAAGTCTTACCAAGTGACATTGTCTTACGGCACTGGCAGATTATTTCACTTAATCTGAGTCTAAATTACTGGGATGTGTTTTACACAGCCTTGTGTTTTACTTAGAGGTAGAGGTAGAGGTAGAGGTGAAGGTAGAGGTAGAGGTGACTTTTGTTGCTGAAGGGCTGAAATAAGTATTCTTGTGCTCAGATTTTATTTATTTATTTATTTATTTATTTATTTATTTATTTTGCTATAGTCCTTTAAAACTCTGGACTCATATTCACAAAGTTTCTGTTTGCCTGCCGTGCTCAACTTCACTGCGAAACAAAAATMCATCTGCCACTCCTGTAAGTCAGTTGCACTCGGTTAGACTTTTTGAAATAAGGAAAATTTCCAGTTATTCTAACTCCAGATCTCTTCTTCAGTATATCATTCTCAAAACAAGATCAAAAACACTTTTTTGGCTGAATAAAGGGAGGAGGCTTGGTTAGATGGACAATTTTTGCAGCGAAGAGGCTGTTTCAAGACCTCCCTACCATCAAATGATCAAACAATTGTTTGAACAAAAACTTATGACTAAGAGTCAAATCTATCGGAAACATGAAGTTTTGTGTTGTGTGATTTGTGTAGTTTCATAAACAAGTCAACAAATGCAGAAATTTAAGTCCAAAAGTAAAAAAAATAAACTAACAATATATTTAGCCCTCTTCCTTGAACCTCATGCCACACCCTTACCCCACTGACAAATCTCTAAATCTGTCCCTGTGAATGACCTGTCACAGCAGTAAACAAGTTTATTACAGTCTGTTAAAACTCTGATTATAAAATAGACAGATGTTGAACTAAGTTGTAAGTTTCATTTAAAAATATATATATTTAAAAAGAAATCACAAATTTTGTCCAAGAGCAGCGAGCAAGTCCAGGCAGAAACATGTTCTTACGTCAGTAAAATTTCACCTTATTTAAAGAGCTGCTGTTCATTCTGCATAGTTATTATATGCAATAATTTTCTGTTAAAACTTTTCGAGGGTCTAAATGTCTTTCAAAGTAATTTGAGAGAAAAAAAAAACCTGCCCTTCTTCTGGTTGTAGAGTCTGAGATTAGGCCGTCGAGGCTTCTGACCTGGTGCCAGAAGCAGACGGAGGGCTACAGGAACGTGTCGGTCACAGACTTGACGTCTTCCTGGAGAAGCGGCATCGCTCTGTGCGCCCTCATTCACAGATTTAAACCCCAGCTGATGTAAGTAACAACCAATAGCTTAACATCAAAACCAGGCTCCGGAGCTGCATCTTCCCTTCTCTTTTAACATGATTTCATACAGCCATACCTTCTTATTTCCCTGACTTTTTAAATAATAATAAAAAAAGATTCTCGTTCTCAGTTTTACTGTTTTCCTTTCAAACTCTGGACTCACAAAGTCTCTGCTGTTCTCATCTTCACTGCAAAAACTGCTTTTCTGCTTTTTGATGAATCTGTTCAAACAGATGTACCTCTGTCATTCAGCACATTCATTTTCCACTGCAGCACGATTTCTTGTAAGCTTCTGCAAAACCTCTGCTCTCACATATTTGCTTTTTGCTCTTGAATGGTTGATAAACTTGCCGAAACAGCCCGTATATCAGGGTTATTCAACAAAATTGCTCCCGGGGGGGGAGGCCCAAAGCAGACCGGTGGGCCGGACGGAAGTCACCCGCGAGCCGCCTGTTGAAGAACAGTACTTTCATGTACTTTCACTGTTAATGGGAACCCTGGGTTTAGACAGTGTGACTGCAGTACACTGAAATATGTCATTTCATTCCCTCATCCTTTAAAAATTGCCGTCAGACTTTGGCACAAGTCGCTGCACTTTCCAGTACTCCTGCTGGTTTCTAGGAAGTTTTTTTTTTCTCTCTCTCCCACTTTTCATGCATTTTCCTTTTTTGTCCTTCCACATGTGAGCCTGTCAGTCGAGCAGACGGCAGGGAGGGGAAGAGGTTCAGAGAGAGAAAAAAAGAAATAAATTAAAAAAGGGCAATTACTGAAGAACAGCAGTGTTTGTGTGTGCTGCTGCTAAGTTACCGCTCCCTCCTTTACATCACTCTGAATGGTGTCTGCACAGCATCAGTGACGGCACAAACATCACAACCACCTTTTTTTTTGTTGTGATTACAAGCAATTTGCTGCACGAGAAGCTAGCTTATTATGAGCGAGAAGTTTGATTAAAACACGTTTGTGCTTGACTCTTTGCATAAGTAGGAAATGTTGTTTTATCCTAAGTCTGTGCCAGTCACCTGACATGAAAATATGAAAGCATTTGAAAGGATTGAAAGGATTTGTCAAGAAATAATTCCTTCAAAGAGTGTCTCTTTCTTTTTTTTTTTCACATTCAGGTATTTGGGTCATGGGTAAAAATGGGTTACTGGTGAGTTTTGTGTGGGCATTTAGAGAGGTTTGCAGGAAACTGAACCCAAACACAAAGACACGCTGTATATAACTTTAAATGTAATTAAAATAAAAAGAAAACACCTAAAAGGCTCTGTCGTCATATTATCACTAACTGTCGCCTGTTTTTATCAGAGATTTTGACTCGTTAAATGAGGAGGATCATGCTGTCAACCTCCAGCTGGCCTTTAACCTCAGCGAGCAGGAGTTTGGGATTGGACCGTTCATGTCGGTGGAGAAGCTGATGGCAGGGGAAGAGCTGGATAAAACCAGGATGATCTCCTTCCTGTCCAAGTTCTACGAGCTCTTCCGTGGAACGCCTCTACCTGCATCAGGTACGCCGCTCCGCACGCTTGTTTTCTGTTCACTTGTTTTAGTTTTCCTTTGAAAAAAAAGGATGGAGAAGTTTTATTTTTTTGTAAAACGTTTTCATTTGTAGTGGCATGAGAGGAATGTCTGGGGTATTTTTCTTTTTTTGGACTGTGGGATTCTGGGACCTGTCTCAGCTGAAATGCTTTTRATAGTCGAACATTCTTCCTCACAGTTACCGTAACTCTTTCTGTAAATCACCATAAGACGTTTATTTAATAAAGTAATTTAAGGCAAAACACACTTTTACGTGAGAAGGTAAAAGTGAAAACTCTAACATGACATGTTACGATTACAGAGTCCAGTAAAGCGGAGGAAAGTAATAAAGAATATCTCTCAAAGGAGGTCCGATCTAATAACAACGTGCCTTATCTCACACTGCCGAGGAAACGGGTACCAAAGGTAACTTCATCTTTAGGAGTTTAAATAAAAATGTGTCTGATGTCATTTCCAATTCATTTTTGTGATCATTTAAAATGTTTTTGTCTTGTTTTGTGTTTTCAGGATGAGAAGAAGCTGGACGGTACGGACTCTATTAACAAACGGAGGCGAAAATATGGCTATCTGGAGGAGGTTTGTTAAAATCAGTTTTGTGTATCAGCTGGATGATTTTTTTTTATATTTTTACATTTTCTTACTTTTTTTTTCAGGCCACAAGTCGGGCCAGCAATGGTTCCACGGTGCTTGACAAACGAGATCCAAAGGAAAATAAAGTGCGCTCGATGGCTTCTCAGCTGCTGGCCAAGTTTGAAAACAAAAACAGTTGCACCATCAGTAAACCCCAGGTAAAAACACAGAAACATGTTTCATATAGACCTAAAGGTTTTATTCTAATTCAGGGTGACATRTGTTTTTGATTCGACTCTCTACATATTTCCAAACTACAAAAAATAATAATAATAATTTCAGTTATTTTTCTTCATACAAAACCTTTTATCTCTTTAAATATATTTTTTTCAGTTTTGTTTTCAAAACAACTGTTGTATTTTTCCATGAATTAATAGCGAGTTTTATTTTTTTCTGCTGAGTTTCAGTTTTCAAGTGTTTTGCTTCAAGGAGGTTTTTCTCTTGTCTGCTGTTTCACATAATGCTCTTATCTGTTTTCTGTTTCTGTGCTTTTTTCAATAACATTTCTTTCAATCTTCTGGGAAGCCTCAGTCAGACTGTGAGATGTCCTTGCTGCATCCTGCTCTTAATCTGATGGAGAATCTGCCCGTTAAACTCGGGCCTCCGGTTCCGCCCAAACCTCCTCTGACTCAGGTAGTCCGGTGCTGCAGAAAGGGTGCAAAATGCCTAAAATTGGAAATAAATCATAACTTTAACATTTTCTGATGTTTAYCGTAAACCAAATATGTTAAGTGCAAGAAGTTTTTGTCTTTTYCAGATCATTAAGGTAGCTTTCTATTTGACTTCTCTTTTTGTCACTGTAACTGTTACATTAGTAAGTTTGCAGTCAGACCTTATCTCTGATTACAATACGATTTATTACATATGAGCAAWACATGAGCATAAAATAACTCAACTACTGTGCATCGTTTTTACAACAGAACCTTAATTATTTATTATAGGGATGCACAATATATCTGCATTAACATCGGTATCGGCTYAAATTGGTAATTWTTTTAAATATCYTATTGGTCTGATAAGTAAAACTGGGTCGATCGTGTCCAAAATGTTCCTGRTTTGGGAGGGGAAATGMTTGGTTGTGGTCTCTGTTTGATAATGATAGTGATAGTGATGCTGTGCAGCCAGGATTAACTGAGCCATGTCATGGTGTGGTCATTTTATTTACAGCATCAAAAGAAGATCTGAAGAAGTGTATTTGTGCGTATATGTATATAAYTAATTTMTYTGTTTGTGTAATATCAGTAAATATRGATTATCGACCATAACACCAATAATAATATCGGATATCAAAATCGGCAGGGATTTTCATATTGGTGCATCCCTGATTTATAGTCAAAGTTGTGACAATAGAGTTTGGTGATATCAACAAAATCAAATTGATTCAAACTTTCTCAGATCACAAAATGCATCAATATGGATAGAGCAAAATAAATATATATATAAAATTGATATCACTCTGAAGACATTTTTCTTTATTGTTTCACATATTTCATTTTCCATGAAATAGATTAGTCATTGCCTGCTTACATCTACAGTGTAAAATCTGACCTTAAATAAAAACATTTTTCAAATAACAAGTGTCAAAACCGATTTCTACTCATGTCTTAGGAATAATATAACTTACATTTAATCATTATGTGATGATAAATGGATTTATAGGAGCTCTTTTGTTTATTATTCCTTTCAGTTTGAAGTCAGTCTCAGAAAAGCAGCTGATCATTTAGTCCACATTCCTCCAAAGACTTGGCCAAAACCCCCGACTCAGCACCAGCACCCGTTTTCAGTAGTGCAGCTCAGACATGTTGATCAAAGCCAAGTTGAGCCTGAGCCTGAGAGTCCAGAAGCCCCTGATTCTCCTCCCTCCTGCCACTCAGCTATCTCTTTCATGACACGAGTTCTCCATCGCCTCAGAGAGGTGGATGAACACATATCTGAGGTGAACAGTTTTTCCTGCTTTCTTCTCTGCCTTCTTTTTACATCATAACTACTGCATGTTCTGATCTCTGAAACGACCTCTGAGTGAATGGTGATTATTTATTACGTCCTGATTAAACCAACTGGTTTGTTTGACCTGTAGTCAGATGAAGTCAGGCTCCAATTATCCATCAGGCCAGTTTAGTTTACTAATTTTACTCAAGTTTTTTTTGATAAATAATTGCAGAAATACATATATTCAGTGATTCAAATTATTCTTAATGTGTAAAAAGTTAAATTTCATCTTGGGTTGATTTCTCTCCAAGAAGTGTTTCTGTTTTCAGTTTTGTGCTCCGGTGCTGTATTAGTTTTTATATCAAGCAGAGTGTGAAATTAACATAATGAAGCAGTTATTGTTCCAGACAGTGCAGCCATTGTTCTTCTCTCGACAGCACAGGTCTGGACAGGTCTTTGTAGGTGAGTGTGTTTCCTCTCAGCAGAGGAAGTGAGACTGAATTTCTTTTTGTCTTTTTGTCACCCTGCAGAAAAAAGCTCAGACGCAACAAGTTAGAGAGTTTCACACAAAGAGCATAAAAGAAAAAGCTGTTCATCTTAYGAGTTTATTTTCAGAAGATGGTTCTGATGTACTCCAGGTGACTTTCTCAAGCTCGACCTGCGAACCCACTCTTGTTATGAGCACTATTCGCCCCTCTAACTATGCTTTTGCATGTACTAGCATGTTGTGTTTGCATGCAGACCAATTGCTTTCTTTTCTATTAGTTTTATGCAGTCGTAGCAATGCTTTGGACTGGAAGGTGCATTTTTACTCTGATGAAGATTCCAAYGGTAACAAAAAGTCATGCCAGTAAAATATATAACTTTGTCAGAGATTGGTTGTATTGCTGACTAATTAATGCTAAATTAATTTTGGGTATTTGGCAACATTATTGAGTAAAAATGACAGATGAAGTATTCTGAACTTAGTTTAAATCCTTGAGCTTTATCGGGGACCCTCRCCTGTCTGTTTCTGCCCCTTGTGTTTTGAATTACCATCAGCCCTCACAGAGAAGTGTGTGTTTTTGTGGTGACAATTTGTGGTTTCTTTCTGCTCCACCCAAACAGCCCTCTCCAGCTCCACAGCCACATGTTGGAGCAGAAATGACTCTAGTTGTATTTATTATACAGCTAAAGAGCAGTATGAGGTGCCGTTTGTAAAGTTACACAGTCAAAAATTACCACCAATATTTTTGTTTTATTTATCCTTTTATAAGAAAAAAAGAACAGATTTATTTTTCAAAGTCAGTTTTTCACCATATGAT